CTTAAATGATATTAGTATTGCAAAATATAAATTCGTTAGTTTTTTAATGTAGTTTTACAAAAAGATAATGATATGAGTACAGCAAAGATAATTAACAAGAAATGACAAAATGCCAAAAAATGTACAAAAGATTAAATATTCAATTGAGTCTCTTTGCTTGAAGCTTGATGAAAATAGAATAGTGATTGCATATGTTTTGGCCTCGTAAATAGAATTTGAAATCTCCTATTCCTTAGAATGTCATTACTCAATCCCATTAAAGCCATTAGATGACAAAGCATCATAGTCATATAAGTCTTTGTTAATAGGAGAGGAGGAGCTTCCTAAATTGACGAAATAAATTCTAATGCCAAATTTGCAAAGAATATAAAGACAATTTTTGTAACTAGCAAAAGCATGCATCCATGCAAAATAGTCGCATACTCTTTCAAGTTAGTTGATACCAAATTTTGAGTGTAAACCTGAATTGATGATGAAAGAACGAAAACAATTATGGGAGTATGAATGGTAATTTCTCTCATGCACAAGAATGTTTGATTTTCTTATATTTAGATAAGTGTCAATAAAATCAAAGAAATTGTGTCCAAAGATTTCACATAATAAACAATATTGAGGGATGTTTTAATAGATTACCTTCTACCAATATCAAGAAGAATTTGACACAATCCACACTTGCTTCATTAGAAAGTTGACATCCAATTCAACAAAACTCTAGCCACAAAAGGCCTTATACAACAAACAATTGCTCCAACCACTTACAAAGTATTTTATTTAAAATATAGACCTTAAGGAATATAAAGTGGATTAATTGCTAAAATATATTCAAATTTGAGAAAAATGTGCCCAAACACATGTGTTGGGTGGTTTCGCAGACACGTCAAAATGAGAAAACCACCCATATGCATCTAAAAACCACTACATAGCTTGTATGTGTTGAAAAGATTTTAGTGTAGTCTGATTTAAGTATATAATCTAATAATTATGAGTCGTTGATCAATAATCCCAATAGAACAATCACCAACTAAATGTAAGTAGAACAGGAATTTGTGAGTGACATCTATATTTGGATGACCCAAAGAGAACTTGTTTACAATAAATAACAAAAAGGATCTACCAAACTCAGATATTTCCAAAAAAAATGAGCGCAATTTTGCCTAAATATAATGAGAGTTGCTAGGTGATTCATAGGAGATAAATTCTCATGATAATAAAAAAGAAAATGAGTAATAAGGAAGGATGCAATCCCAAAACTGATGATCCGCCCACAACATATTATGATGAAAAAATCACAAGCAACAAAAGCCTTGATATCCAATAAAATGTGAGCAGCTAAATAAGCCTTCAAGACAATAAGACTTATTAGTTAGGAGGCAATGATGACGAACAAAAATGAGGAGCCACCATCACCCTAGCATAATCAAATGTAAGTAAAAAAACTATGGTAGAATTGTGACAAATGAAGAAAAAAAAGAGGCTAAAATAGCCTAATAATGACAATCAAATGACTAACAAAGATCAAGAGCGATGGAAGAAAGTTGTTGGCGTGAGGAAAGCAATCAGTAAAGGACAGAAGCACGTGGTCTCACAACAATCGGAGTGAAGAGCAACCCTAGCAGCCACATCAGAATACATTCGACAACATTATGTGCGCCCATGAACGCACGAGAATGCACACAAATATGCAGTAACACGATAACGTGTGAGCTCACGAGCACGCAGGCAGAAAGCAAAAGCATGTGGCGCAAAATAGCTATGATTAGGCAAGAAAGCATATAAAGTGACAGGCACTTCAAACATAAGAATTAATGATTTCTTTTGTAGCAAAATGCTTTGTCATTAAATTATATGTTGGATTGAATATTTATGGTGGCAGGTTACAGAAGAAAGAATGGTCAGAAATAATGACAGCAAGCGCTAAAAATATGTAAGCTTCCTTGAATTCAATCATTGATGATTCTACAATGGCCCACATAATTCACTTTATGTCAATAAAGAAATTCCAAGAATAGATTGGCATCACAAAAAAGCAAAAATTCAAAAATAATCAAGAACACAATGTTCAGGCAAGGTTGCAACATAAGGCCCTAGCAAGTTTGTCATTTGATATATTGAGGTGCTAAAAAGCCTTAGCTAACATTCACATAAAATAAAAATTTCATATAAATGAGAATTCAAACACACCCATAAAATATATAAAACAGAAAATCATTATGTTCTATAAGTGAAAATTATAAAATATGGAGACTAAATTTTCTTGGCCATCTTAGATAAGTTTTTGTTTTAATTCAGAAATTTGGAGGATACCGAACTCGTGATCTATTCATGCTTGATTTTTTTTTAGATTGGTGGCTAAAAAGCTCAAAGCTCAAGAAGCATAAATGTTTACATTTTTCAAAATTGGTGTCCACCAGACTCTATCTATTGACTTAATGCTCGCATTACTAGTTGCATTTTCTTTCAACAAGATGAAGTGAGATCACCGTACTTATCTTCAACTTTAAAAGAAGTGAATCTCCTTATGTATGCCTCTTAAAGATTAATGGGTTATTTAATCCATGTTCGATCATGAATGTAAATGAATCTCACCAAATCATAAAAACTTGTGTCTTGTATTTTGTTATCTTTGGTGTGTTATTCTCAAATCTTAAATTAATTTTTTGCTCGAAATTTCTATCTCTTTACCAACACAAACATATTCTTATCAAGGACCACACTTATAATGCAAGACAACGCTTCGCAGAAAACTTTAAGCTCATAGTTAATATAATAACTAATAAGGCCAGCAATTATTTTATAATTATGAATTTGGCTTCTAAAGAGCAAATCAAAATTCACAATGATAGTTAATATAATAACTAATAAGGAGGCCAGCAATTATTTTATAATTATAAATTTGGCTTCTAAAGAGCAAATCAAAATTCACAATTTTAACACACACGCGTGCGCGCACATACATATATATGGACAAATGTCAGCCATTAAAAACCCCGCAATGATAAATGCTTGGACAATTTGCAATTTATATATTGTTTTCATCAGCCTTAAGAGATTGAATGGTATAAATATGACAAAACAAAGGAAAAAATATTAAAACTAGTACCACGATATTGAAACACACATAAAATAAAATAGAGAGACAAAAAAAAACAAAGTCCTTCAAATAGACCAAAAGAACTCAACTAGGGTTTATGACTTTAACGTGTCATAATCATAAATGATCAAGATCTTTTATCGATGAACGCTGGTTGGATACATTTACGAGCATACAAATTCATTACAAAGTATGCTCAAACAGGAGTTTCAATAGATTTAAGAGGTTAAATTTGCATAAACATTAGAATGCTTTAATTTGTCAAAATTTGGTTTTGATTGCTAACATAAAATTTCCTAAAGACATTTCATAATTAGTTTTTTATGTTACAGCCACTACAGGCTAAGAAAATAAGGAAAAACTACAAGAAAGAAAATATATTTTGCTATGTACTGCTATTCTTTTAATACAATTAATTTCTAGCACATTAGTATAACTATAATTTAAGAAAAATAGATAGAAAAAAAAGCCAAGAGTAACAAAATAAACGGGCAACTTAACAATTGGCCACACTAATATCATTTTAATGTGAGAAGTCATTTTTCAAAATAATATTAGAAAATTAAATGAGAAATAGAATATGATAGCCATAACCATATAAGAATTGGAGAGAATCAATCGAGTACATTATTTCATCATTTCTGTTGATTTGTGTAAGTCTAGGAGAACATGTAGTAGGAATTTACAATATTAAGAAGTAAAAAGATAGGAACAATTTTGATCACCATTAGGAGAGAATTGATTGAGTACTTAAATTCATCATTTGTGCTAAATTTGTGCAGGTGTGGGAGAACCTATAATAGAAATACAATATTAGAGGTACAAAAATAAATACATGCTTGAATATGATTGAGACAACCCATGAATTGGTAAGGTGGCGGCAATAATCTCATGGATTAGTGAGACAGATGGGAGGATGAGGAAAATGAGAAAGAGAGAGGGAGAGAGTTGAAGGTAAGGCTAGCCGGTGCTATCATCATGAGAAGGGGACAAAGGGGGCTGGAGGCAGGACTCTAAGAACAAGGCGGAAGTAGCTAGAAGCATTGCATTTTCAAGTTAGCCATGTTTGTTCATAGAGCAAAAAATTAAAAAAATCAAGAGAATCCTTTTGCCTGACACAAGAATCCAATCTCAACTAATGCAACTGAAATCCTACTAAGAGTGTGCAAATTCAAATACCTAGCTTCAATCTTGCTAACAGTCATGCACGAAAATAAGGAAATAATTAAATGAAAATGAACATCACAGCAACCTAAGCATTAGACATAGCCAGCTAATCAAGTTCATTGTGCAATCACTTACTAGTTTTTTTTCACAAATGTGACTATGAGCCTTGGAATGAGTATCAATACAAGTTCGTTGAATTTTGTTAAGAAGAAAAAAATAAACCAGCTTAATTGTAAATGCTGATACAAGGAGTACCCAAAGATATTCAACTCCAATAGGAAATCCTTGAAAAACCCAATCATCCGGAGGAACCAATTTTCTCGAGAGCAATTTTGCATTTTCAATTAAGACAACCAACTTTCAGTTAAGAGAATAATCTACATGCTGCCTAAAAGGAGAAGCAGTAGAGATGAAAATATAAAAAATCGGATTTAAAATTCAGCAACAACAATAAACCCATATTCACAAAACCTAGGAAACATTCCAGCAGCAAAATTTATAATTAACCGAAAAAAGTACCGCATCTACCCAGCACTACACTTAAGAGTAAGAATACACAACACCTCATGCCCATCAATCCCAGAATTAGTATATAAACCAAACGAGCCCGGAGAAAACGACGAATTCCCGGCGCGATCAAACTAAAACAAACCGAAATACAAGAAAAACAATAATGCGACCGTGCAAGCAATCATCGCAATACACTTCAATCAACATCAGCAAACAACACTCAAGAACTCACTGGAGTCTTAATGACAATGGCCTCCGCGGCCTCACCAGCACCTTCCCGGTGATTTCGCGCCGGCGAGAATCGGTGGTACTCATCGGGTGAAACGAACGGAGGCCTCGATGAAGAGAACGGTAAGCTATGTTTCAACGGGTGGAAGATCTGACTCGGCGGCGGCGGAGCCCGGGTTCCAGCTGCCCGAACCCGGTTTCCAGCTGCTCGACCGCCGGACATGTATGCTGATGAGATTCTCACCCAAACTCTAGCACAAAACCTCGATCCTAAACAAAAATATATATACAGATCCAACTCAAAGCAAAACGCAAACCAAAACCCTCGTTCCCAGTAGGTTTCAAGTGAGATCCAAGTGGCGGCGGCGATCTGAGAAGGAAAAAAATTCAAATAGTCATTCAACCGGTGCCGATCAACAAAGCGATGACCGCCGGACTAGGGTTTCCTGTCAAGGATCTGAGAAGCTGTAGGGGCGGAGAAGAAGAGAGGGAGAGAGAAGGTGAAAAAGCGGAGAGCAGAAAACGAGGGAAGCGAGGGAAATTATAGTTCGGATAGAATGGAGGGAAGCAATGACAGAATATTAGAAATTAAATAAAGAAATCGATATTTTGCTCCTCTAAAAGCCTTATATATAGAATGTTTGGTGTGCTAGAATCACACGTGAGAATTTTTTTTTTCTTTTCAAATATTTACAAAAATAACACTTAATTTCTATGTATTTACATATCCAACACCTAAAAGTCAATTTTATATTACTTTATTTATTCATGAATATGTTTATTTTTTTTAAATTAAAATATTGATATTTTTTGTATGATATGGAATAATTGGGTGATGGTATAAATAAAAAAATTGAAACTAAAGTGTTAGATATGTAAATACATAAGAATTAGGTGGTATGCATGTAAATGTCTTTTTTTTCTTAGATTAAGATATGTAATGCCTAAATTCAATTTTTACATTTATGCCACCTTATTTATGCATTCTTTAAATGTTATGAAGTATTTGAGTGGTATAAATGTAAATAACGAAATTAAAGCGTCGGTATGCATGTAACACTTAAAATTTAATTTTTGACACATATGCCGCCTTATTTATTTATGAAAATGTATATTTTAAATTTTAAGCATTAAAATAATGGTATTTTAACATTTTTTATATAATATGAAAGATTTTGATGGTATAAATGTAAAATTTGATGGTATTTTGCTATTTTTATATTATATGTAAAAATTGAAGATTATATATGTAAATACTTATAATTTGGGTGGTATGTTTGTAAATGTTTTTTTTTTAGGTTAATTAGTATTTATAAATATTTTGCACGGCCATGCGGCGTTCGAATCGGCGATGCGCGCCATTTTGCTGAACAGCTGCTACAGCGACTAATGTTTTTTTTACTGCTGTAGCGGCGCTTTTATATAGCCGGCGCCAAATATGAAAAGTAGGGGGGATTTAAGTAGGTAAAAGAATGCCATTTTTGTGTCTATATTTAATCATATTATTTTAGTAATGTAACATTTAATTTCTATAAACTAAAGTATTGCGTTAATTAATAAAAAATATATGTTTTAAATATTATGATATGGTTTATATTATATTTAATCTTAATTATGCATTTGGAATTTAAGTATGGTTTATATTTGGTTGTTAGGTTAAAAGATATGGAGAGTGATAATTGAATGTTAAAATGAATCTTCAAATAATGAGATTAAAAAAAAAAATTAATTTAATTATATATATATTTATTTTATTTTAGAAGATAATATGGCATTTTTATGCACATTGATGTTATAGTGTTTATTGTATGAGTGAAAACACATTTTATTCTTCTTTTACTGGAAATATACATTTTGCGATGAAAAATAGATAAATATATTTTAGGATCGTGCATTGATAAATTTCAATTGTGTATGTGAGTGTGTTTGGGGTGGCAGTACAATGTTGCACCGCACGTTGGGATGTTTGACAACATTATGTTTTGCTTAAAAAAAAAATTCAAAGGTGAGAAGCTTCATTTTGCATTTTGGCCTAACAATGTTCGGCGGATATCAGAAAGCTACAGCCTGATGTTTTAAAAATAAGAAAATTATAATAACCATCGCAGTTTTTTAATTAATAGTTTTGTTATAGCAGTCTCATACATACTTTTTCAAACAGTTGTAACTGTCCCACACAAACCCTATAACATATAATCAACTAAGGATATGTTTGGGACAGCTTTCTTCTTGTTTCGTTTTTCAGATCGCACACTACATTTTTGTTGAGGAATTGCTTTATTGATGCTTTTAAAAATTATTCTAGTTAAAAGCTACTTTTTCAATCCAACCATTAGAGTGTGGTGGATGACATAAAACTTCGTTTTAACTCTTTAAAAATAAAACAAATTTATAATAGCCACCACAGTTTTTTTGAAAAGTGGTTTATTTAACATCATTAGTTCAAAACTGTTTCTTCAAACGGTTGCAATTGCCCCAAATAGACCCTAAAAATGAATGGCTTACTATAAGAAAATATATGTGCATTTTAACTAAAAGAGTCACCTTTAAATAATACTATTTTGGGATGTTATAGTGCTGAAGCACGCAAAATGAAATGAAAATAAATGTGTCTTAAATAATACATTTGTAGAGTTTTAATTGTCCCTTTAGTTGTTTATTTATTTAATAGCTATTCTTGTTTTACTTTTAGAAAAAACTCCTCACTATGAAACAACATGCATAATAAAATTTATATATAGGAAAGGAGAGGCAGATAAAAGTAAATACTCAAAAAATATTTTAATAATCTTTTTAAATTATTTACTAAAGTTGTTATGTTATACAATATTTACATGTGAATTATATATGAATAAAAATTTTTAGGTTTTGCAGTTTTTAAATACTTGAATGTTGCTTTTTGTTGGATTAATATGCATCTACCTTCTAATCATTTATTTCCTTCTCATAATGCAAATCTTATAGGTTTAACTATGTCAAAAATAGAATTAGAGGAAAATTATAATCATTATTGAAAATAATTCAAGATGCTTGGATAAGTTAAAAAATAAATAATAATTAATGCATTTCTTCTTAAAGAGGCAATTTTGTATTTTGATTTATTTAGGGAGCAAAGTATGAGCAAATGTGTCAAAATGATCCCTTAACTATTTGCATGGGGTCATTTTAGTTTCACAGTCTATAGAAGTGTGTGTTATCTGGGTCAAATTGTGAGAGATGGTGGAAATGATGCGGTAAAAAAAAAACTCTTGAGACATATTGAGTGCATTGTTTTTATAATGTACGTGGTTAAATCAAACAATGTTGGAATCTATTTTACATGTGTTATCTAATATAAATATAGTGGTGAGATGAGAATATAAGAATAAAACATTTACATTCTACATAATTTAATCAATTTTCCCCCTTTTTAATGTCAAGGGGCACCCAATCTCTTTTGGATTTCAGTATTTGTGTCTAAGATGCCCTTGCCCCCATATTAAATTTGCCCATATATTTATATGATAGTTTTATTCATTTAAAAGTCGTATTAAAAACAATTTCAAACACTCCATGGATAAATGAATGAATAAAAAAAAAATTATTATTTTATACATAAAATATGTTAGATCAAAATTAAGCAACTTTATTGCTTAAAAATTGGAATATTAATAACAAATAAAATTTTATTTTTGGATCAAGATGTGTGTGATCAACTCGTACTCTATTATAAAATATAAATGCAATGGCTAATTTTATTTGTGTTTAACGAGAGATGCATCTACGCTCAACATTCGAATTGATGCATTACATCCTGAACATGATAATTGTTTGGGGCACAAATCTCAAAGAGCGAAGGAACTGAATGTCAAGTATGTGTTCTGAAAATTAGGGCGAACCAACTGATTCAATCAATTCAAGCACGGAAGAGTTAGTGGTCTGGTTTGAGCTCTGATTTAAATTTTTTTTTTAGGCTATGACTGACAAAATTTGGAAACATATTTCATTTAAGTTAGTAGGATTTAGCAAATCTTATAAATTTGGATTTATCAAATTCTGGAAGGGTTAAATCTCAAACACTTGGTGATAATGAATTTAATAAGTCCCATTAAATCATTAAAATTGTTCGATAACCTATGTGGGTATTTAAATGTTTGTTATATTCGCTATAATACAGGATCACAAATAAAGGTCTATTTGGTGCAGTTACAACTTATCAGCTGTAGCTTAGTTGCCTCAGAAAGCTATTATAGGAAGTTGTTGTTGGGAAACTGACTGATGTTTATTTTAGCATCTTGAAAATATTTGTCTGGCTGTTGTTTATGGACAAATGATTATTTTGCCTCTGTATAGCAATATTATTTATAATAAAACTGTCATTGCCACAGAAGCATAAATTCACTACAAAACAATACAAAATTCGGATACATGTCTCACTTAACTGTGAGTACCAAGAGTGTCGAAAAAGAAAAAAAACTGTTAAAATTATAATTAATATAATGATTATATTGTTTTTAACATGCAAGCGATGTAAGTCCCTGCTACACTGTCATCCAGTGATTACATCCATTCCCAATCACAGTTAGTAGTGGAACATGTTGGACTATCTACCTACCAGAAGAACTCGCACTGTTCTGCGATGATTCGTGAGCAGCTGTAGAATTGTCTAATTGAGCTATGGACCCGACATGACATCAGTAGACAAGCCTGCAGTCGCAGTGGCAGAGCATTCGTCGGGATGTCCCTAAAATTATTGAGCTCATTATTTATGAATGTTGCAAAAGGCAATGTATTTATAAGGACAAAAATTGAATTTGCTAAAAGATATAATGAAAAAATGACATTTACAAATTACGAAAAAAGTTTCAAACCAACAATATAAAATGTAAAGTACATATGCATATGTATAAAGAAAATATAGCTTTGAATGCTCAATATCCATTGTGAATGTTCACAATATTTTGACAAAAAAAAATTGAATTATATATAGGACTTAATAAATTACAAATAGTCCAATCAGGCTCGTACTAATGCATTAGTGATTTGCTGTCGTCATTTCATTGTCACCTTCCCTCTCTATAGTACAAATAATGTCAGGATCATTTTCAACTCGTGACAGGGAATGCCTGAGGGTGGTACTCAAGTGCTTCCAGAGGTACATGCTCCTGATCCTCATCGGCCCTGCGAAAGTCAATGTCATTGCGAGAAGGATATCGTCGAATATAATCATGCAAAGTTATCGGG